CAGGGCTGTGCCCCACCTTGAGGTCTGAGCAGCTCAGTGCTTTATCCCCCTGTCCTGCTCCCAGTGCTTGGCACTGGGCTGGGATCCATCCATCCGTGTCCTTCTAGCTGGTTTTCCATACCTTTTGGACAGGCAGCAAAACTCACAGCCGCTAACTGCAGGCATCTGTCCTCACTTAACGCAGGAATGTTTTCCGGCAGGTTCACCTCCAGGTTTACCTGCCCAGGTAGGGCCCTTCCCACGCAGCACTTTATGGCTGTGTCCCTTCCCAAAGAGACAGTAATTCGGTGTGTCAGGCACACGCCACAGCTGCTGCGGCTGGGGTGTGTAACCAAGGAGTGCACTTGCTCTTGAACTCAAGGTGGATCTTAGCAAGCTGGTGCTGGCTTGACAGGAATCCGTGTAAACAAAAAATAATCTAAAGCTGGGAGAGCAATAGCCAGGAAACAGCCTCCTTGCTTTGGAGGCGAAGGGTTCAGTCGTGGGGCAGCAGGGGTCTGTGAATGGTGCTGGCTGGGTGCTCCCAAGTGCTGGTTTCCCGCTGGGAGAGGCGAGTGCTGCTGCATGTCTGGAAGATGAGATGCTGATGGGGAGCCTGCGATACAGAGCTCCAGCTGGGGTCCTGGAGGTCAGTTGGGAATGGCTGGTACAGAGGGTAGGCTGGAGGGGGAGGGGACTGGGGAAAAAAAAAGGGAAATACAACAGCAAGTTTGCAAAATGAATGTGAGAGTGAGCAGGCAAGCATGAATGTTGTTTGTGCATGGGTGTACTCAAACCTCTGCGTGTGCTGATGGGATGAGCAAGCAAGCTGTAAGACAAAATTCCCGTTTGCTCATGAGCTGGCAGGATGCTCCCATAGGCACCAGCCAGGGTTTCCTCACCCAACATCTTCATCTTCAAAACGTTGGGCAATTCCCTTTGTCCTTACAAGGAATTAATGTCTTTCCAGCCTGATGGAAGTGTTCAGATCAGTAGTTGGTGGGTCTCGTACTGGTGCAGCAAACCTGAATCCACTTGGCCGCTTGTTATTTGAGCAATAGCGGCTCAGCAGAGATTGCATAAGGCTGGTGTTGGTCATGGTTTCCCTTGCTTGGTGAGCGCTTCGGGCTCCTGCTGGCTGCTGCATGGTAGTTTTCACCATCTCCCTCAATGCCTTTGCCTCAAACGGGTGCTTTGTCACCTTGCTTTGACTTGGGGCTTTCAGGAGCCTTAGGGATTTCATCTGCTTGGAGCACAGCTGTGGCTGCCAGGGATGCTTGTGAGCCCTGGTCTGTGCTGGCTGCAGGGAATAGCTGCTGGGTTTTCCTTCATGGGGACCAGATGTGCTGGTGCTGCTGTTCTGGCACGCTCGGCTGCCTGGTTTTTAAGACGTAGTAAAGGGACTACTGAGTGGGGTAAGCCCCGGACTTTTGGTTTCACAAACCCCAAACCAGCTGAAATAGCTGGTTTGCGTTGCAAGAAGTAGAAACTTGGTTTTCGATACTCTCCTCGCAGGCAACTTTTTTTGGAGTAACTTGATCCTTTTTACAGTGAGTGAGGCAGGAGATGGGCTCCTTCTGTCTGCAAAGTTACCATACAACTTCCAGAACAGTTTATTTGTCTTTCTGGGTTTGTTTTTCAATTTTTGTCTCTTCTTTTAATGTCACAAGCGACTTCCTGGTGCTGGTTGGTAGGGTGTGCAGGAGACCTTTGGGAAGGGTGGCAGCCTGTGCAGCCATCCCCGACCTGTGCCAAGGCATTCCCATGGAGCCTGCTGCCATTTCTACCAAATTCTGCTGGTTTAGCTTGGAAACAGTTCCCAGAGCGTAAGTTTAGCACTGTCGGTGCTTACAGCTCTCTGCTCCTGCTCTTCTCTACCAGGACAAGTGCCCTGTGTTTAGCTGTTTGGGTTTTTTTCTCTTTCTTTCTTTTATTTTTCAGGTTTATCGCTGCTTCCCCGCAGGGCTGGCAGCAGGGTGGCACTGTACACAGCCCAAACTTAGGACTGTCTCAAGGTGTCACCCCATTTCAGGACACACATACCTATTGATCCACTAACTTTCTGCTGGTGTTTTGACTCACTGAGCCACTGCACAGGTTCAGGTCCCAAATGAGCTGTTACATTCCCAGCCACATCCCCCCCTGTGTGTGCCCAGGAAGCTTGTAGCCCCCTAAAAGCTATTTACTGTGTGAATTGCCCACTGGGTTCTCTCCTGCAGGATGCAATTATTTAAGAGGGTGATGGAGGCATGGTGTAGATGTGACCATTGAGAGGGGGTCATCAGGCTGGGTGATGGTAAGATGGGTCATGCCCATGTCAGCTATGGGGTGCTGTTGGCTTGACAGTTTGTTTGCAACGTTTGAGCATGAAGATGCCCTTGTCTGAGCCATTTCCCTGACCCAGTCTGATCTGCTTTCCTCATACCATAAAACCTCCATGTGTTGGAATAGGTGGAGATGGGTGGGAAGTGCCTTTGCCAGTGTGGTGCAGGATGTTGATGCTGAGTTGGGGATGCTCTTTGGGATCATAGCAGTCCTGTCCCACTTGATCTTTTTGGCTTCAGTGTTGAGACCTGCTCATGCATTGGGCGCAGAGAACAGCACCGAAACTGCTTGAAACCAATTCTGCTCATTAGTGTTGTCTTGCACTCATTCCTTTTTTCTGTGTTTTTTTTTTCTTGTTACCCTATACGCTTTTTTTGGTCTTTGAGTAATCAACCGAAATGCAGTGGCTGAGCAGAACTTGATTAATTGTTCTGTTGCTTTCGCTGCTGAAACTGGGTGTATCAGCCAGAAAGGTTTAGTTTTGCACTGTGCTGGGCAGTCCTGAGGATGAGGGACCAAACCAGCAGGCACCCCTTTTTGCTGAAGATGTCCTCCTGCTCCTGGCCCTCTCTTTGGCAGACCTGAGGGGTGCCAGCCCACAAAACCTGAGCAGCTGGGGTGTTTTTTAAGGGACTAGAAGTGCCGATCTGAATAAATAGTGGGTACTCAGTGCTGCTTAGCCTTTCCCTGCGGGGGACTGGCTGTTCTCCTTAAGCTTGGAAGTGTATGTGCACCTGAAGAACTGCAGATGTTTGAAAGCACCAGTGCTGCTTTGCTTGAGATAGGGTTAAAAAACTCCAGCAACCCGAAACCAAACAAAAACCAAACCCGGTGCAGGTTTGTACAGTACACTACTGTACTGGTACAGTGGTGCAAGTCCCACTGGCTTTAGTTACCCAGATGAGTGACGAAATGATGGTGGAGATGGGAAGAAAAGGGAGAACAGGGGGGACTCGTGGCACATGCTTGTAGTGGGGTTGTCTGTGTGTTTCCTGAGGTCTGGCTTGATGCAGAGGGAGAAATCAGGATCTGAGATAGCAGCATGCAGGTCATCCCCAGCGCAGGGCAGGAGAGCTGCTGCCTATCCTGCCTCTCCAGACACCCTGTCCCGCTCGGTGCTGTCTCGGGGACAAGGATGAGTAACACAGGTGACCCTCCACGCAACCTCGAGAGGCTGCATCCT